CCAGTGCTTCTCAGCCTTCCTAATGCCGCAATGTGTTTTCATTGTTACAAAGGGGTTGCGACCTCCAGGTTGAGAACTGCTGGAAAGCAATTCTCTTGTCTCAGCCTCCCAAGTAGCTGGGGCTTCAAGCTCCTGCCACAATGCCTGGCTATTTTTTTGTTGTAGTTGTCTTTGTTTAGCAGGCCTGGACGGGGTTCGAACCCACCAGCCCCAGTGTTTGTGGCCGGCGCCCTAACCACTGAGCAACAGGTGCCAAGCCACCTGATATTATCTTATAGAAAAGCCCTAGGTCAGAGTAGAGAGATTCTATTGGGTTCTAGATTCTTTCTCATCGTCTAGGCCAGGCGTCCTCAAACTATGGCCTGCGAGCCACATGTGGCCCGCAGATTATCTGGCCCTCGGGTGTTTTTGCCACTGCTGCCTGTCCTGCTTGGCAGCCGACTTAACCCAGGGCCCTCAGTCCGGCCCTCCAATGGTCTGAGGGACAGTGAACTGGCCCCCTGTTTAAAAAGGTTGAGGACCCCTGGTCTAGGCACTCTGTGTCTCAGTGTTTCCAAACAGTAAAATGATGCCAACACCTCCACAAACCTATTAGGATGAAGGGAAAAGCAAATTGCTCCATACTTTTGAGTGTGTCAAGGTGCCTTTGTGAGCAGTGAGTCCTGCTAGCAGGGATGCAGAGGGACTCATGGTAGTTTGGGAGGACATTGCGGGTGTCTGGTTCTGTCAGTGTAACAGGTGATGTGAATATCTGTGCTCCTTCAGGACATGGTTGACCCTGTCTTTTTATTCTTCCACATGCTTCAGGCTGGGGGAAGTTTGCTCGGCTGACCAGAGCATTGACAAGCAGCAGGGGTGTCCTGCAGCAGCTGGCTCCTAGTGTGCAAAAAGGCGAGAATGTCCACAAGCACTCCCGCCTGGCAGAGGTAAGGGCAAGGGGTTAGCTCAGCTTGACCCTCACTTCCAGGGGGTGCATGGACTGAGGAAATGGCACAAAGCTAGTGTGCTGTCTTGGAGGGGACCTTCAGGACATCCCCAGGCTCCTGATTGCACACCAGGATATTATGTATGACATTGGGTAAGTTACCTAACCCCTTTGAGCGCTCTATTTTACCATATGTGAAAGTAGTCTGGAAAAGCTCTGTTCCACCTGGCTTGAGATGCAGAAGTCAAATCACTTCTTTGAAGGGGTTGAGAAGGAGCTAGAAGTGCTTTATATGAATGCACGAGTTTTTACTTATTAACCATAAACAATTTTGTTATTTGCCCAATATTTTTATAGTAAAAGAACATGCAGGAAACAAAAAGAAGAAAATAAAAATTGCCTGTAATCCCACTGACCACAGAGGACTATTATGTATTTTTTGTGTGCATTTAACTCTTCTCGTATATCCCATTTCTTGAAGGCCAACATGTTAATGTTATGTAGTTGAGAATCTGTGTGTACATTGGATGTAGTTGTGTTGCCTTTCCTTCACTTTATGATCATCCTCCCAAGTTAATAAATATAATTACTGTCATTCTGATAACTTTTATACTATGGAAAACTTGGTATTCTCCCTTTTGCAGGGAGAAATGAGAGGCTGAGAAGCCTCTTTGAGGTGTTTAATCAGGCTTAATGTACCCAGCTTACTTTTATCAGCCTGTGGTGGTATCTGGTCTTTATTTCTTCAACTAGACCACAGTGGGACAAATTAGAGGTCCTCCCCTCTACATAGCAAACTATTATCTTACCCAAAGGTAACAACATAAGCTATTCTTCTCCTAGAGGTGGCCAGCCATCCCTTGATCCATGCTTTGATGGTGAGGCCCTTTCTGACCTGGCTTCAGGGTCCCACACCCTTAAGAGAGAAACTTTCAGCATGCTGCAGCTGGGGTGGGGTGCACTTTGCATATGTGCACCAAATGTAAAATGAGTTAACTATAGAAGATCTCTCTGTAGCAGCCAGAAGTTTTTGCCAACAGTAGGGATGGGGAGTATTTGTTTGTGTCATGTTAGAGAAGGAGAGACATTTGTGTGACGGTAGCTTCTTTTTTTTGTCATGATGTGGGCTTGGCTTATAATAGAAAAATTACTAAAAGTGTCCTTTCACTCTCAGCCCACGCTTTTTCTGCTGCTTCTTATGGTTAATAAAGTAATCTCCTCTCTCGCTTCTTTCCACCTTTGTCACTTTTGTCTGATCACTCTGGCCTTCTTTCTGTTCCCTGTACATGTCAAGCTTACTGCAGGTCTTTGCCCAAATGTCATTTTCTCTGTGTAGCCACCTATATCCCTTAGGATTATGCCAGAGAAATAAAGCCAGTAGGATGTTAAGAGGTTTATTGCAAGGAATTGGCTTACATGATTGTGGGGGTTTGCTAAGCATGTCCAAAATTTGTAGGGCAGGTTAGCAGACTGGAAACCCTTGGAAGAAGCTGATGCTGAATTCCACAGGTATATTTCTTCTTCCTCTGGGAAACCTCACTTCTGCTTTCAAGGCTTTTCAACTGATTGGATGAGGCCTCCTCAGATTACAGGGGATAATCTGTTTTCCTGAGAGTCGACTGATTGTGTGTGTTCTGCACATTTATAAAATATCTTCACAGGGTCGCTTAGTGTTTGTTTGAATGAGTGGGTGCTAGGCCTACTCAAGTTGACACATAGAACTATTACAGTTCACTCTCTTATCAACTTGACACTATATACTTTTTTTTTTTTTGGAGACAGAGTCTGAAGCTATCACCCTGGGTAGCTATGTGCCCTGGTATCATAGCTCACAGCAGCCTCCAACTCTTGGGCTCAAGAGATCTTCTTGCCTCAGTTTTTCTATTTTTAGTAGAGACAGGGTCTTGATTTTGTTCAGACTGGTCTCGAACTTGTGAACTCAAGCAATCCACCCACCTCAGCTTCCTAGAGTGCTAGGATTACAGGTGTGAGCCACTGCGCCCAGCCAACAACATATACTTTTCTTAAAGCCATGATTAATCTCCAAATAATACAATAAAAAATCAAGCTTCTGCCTAACGTGATACAATTATCCATGTACAATGGAACACATGTTAGCCCTTTCCCCTAAGGAGGATGAAAGGTCTTTTGTGATGTTCACTCTTTATTTTTTATATCCTGTAACTTGAATACTAGGACATAAAATTAACTATTATTAATACATATTATGTTATATGATAAGGGGATCAGAAAGGGAAGAAAATAATAGTTTTTGATATATATGTATATATATATTCATAACAAAATAAAGAAGAATTACTCACCTCTTAGCCCTTTTCTTAATCTGTTCTATTTTTTTGTATTTAATATTTTCTAATGTACTATATAGTTTATTGTTTGTCATTTGCTGATAAATCCTAAGCTCTTAGAACAGTGTCTGGCAAATAGGTGCTTAGTAGTGTTTTTTTTTTTTTTTAAATGATTGAATGAAAGAAAAGGAAATAATGCTAATGTTTTTGTCTACTTTTCTGGGATAAGTAGTTGCTCACTCATTGCCAATGAGATGCATACATCTGGGTTTCAGGTTCTAGTAAGTTTAAGTTAGCCTGGCTAGAGGCTTATTGACTTATATTGATCTTTTCAAAGAACCAGGTTTTGTTTTTGTTGATTTTCTCTGTTGATCAACAGAGATTGTTTTCAATTTTATTGCTTTCTGCTCTCTTTTTCATTATTTCTTTTCTTCTGCCTACTTTGGATTTAATTCGCTCTTCTATTTCTCGTTTCCTAAAGCAGAAGCTTAGATTATTGATTTTTTGCTCTTTCTTCTTTTCTAATACATGCATTCAGTGTTGGAAATTTCCTTGTAAGCCTTGATTTATTTTGTTCCATGCCACAAATTTTAAGTTGTATTTTCTTTTGTATTTAGTTAAAATATATTTTAATTTCTCTTGAGATTTCTTTTTTGGCTTCTGCGTTATTTAGAGGTGTGTTGTTTAATCTCCCAAGTATTTTTGGATTTCCTACCTGTTTTCTCTAATTAATTTCTAGTTTAATTCCATTGTGGCATGACAACAAATAGTGTATGCTTTTTATTCCTTTGTTAAGGTGTATTTTATGGCCCTGAACGTGTTCTATCTTGGTGAATGTTCCATGTAAGCTTGAGAGAATGTGTATTCCACTGCTGTTGGAAGAAATGGTCTACACATGTTCATTATGTCCAGTTGATTGATGGTAGTACTGACTTTGATTATGTCTTCACTGATTTTATGCCTGCTAGATCTGTCCATTTCTGATAGAAGGGTGTTAAAGTCTCCAACTATGTGTATAATAATAAACTCATCTATTACTCTTCGCAGTTTTAACAGTTTTTGCCTTACATATTTTGCTTTTCTATTGTTAAATGCATACACATTATAGATTGTTATATCTTCTTGGAGAATCGACCCTTTTATCATTATAATTCCTCTTCTTTATCCCTGATAACTTTTTAAAAAAATTTTGTTTCCCCAATTAACATTTCTTACAACTTTACTTGTTCAGACTCTGTCCTGTGTGAAATTAATATAGGCACTCCTGGTTTCTTTTGATTAGTGTTAACATGGTGTATGTCTTTCTACATCTCTTTACTTTTCAAGGAATGTATGTCTTCATATTTAAAGGGGGTTTCTGATGAATGGATCAACAGACTGGTTTATGTATAGCATGGTATACTATTCAGCCATTAAAAAGATGGAGACTTTTGTAGCTTTTTAATTTATTTATTTTTTTTGAGACAAAGTCTCACTTAGTCACCCTTGGTAGAGTGCTTTGGCGTCTTAGCTCATAGCAACCTCAAACTTTTGGGCTCAAGTTATTGTCTTGCCTCAGCTCCTAAGAAGCTGGGAATATAGTTACCTGCCGCAATGCCTGGCTATTTTTTAGAGACAGGGTCTTGCTGTTGCTCAGGCTGGTCTTGAACCTGTGAGCTCAGGCAATCCAACTGTCTTGGCCTTCAAAGTGCTGGGATTACAGGCGTGAGCTACCACCCCCAGCCTACTTTATGGCTTTTATAGTTACCTGGACAGAGTTGAAATGCATCCTTTTTAGTAAAGTATTGCAAGAATGGAAAAGTAAATATCCAGTGTACTCCATAGTAATATGAAAATAATATATAAACAATTACATGCTCATATGAACAATAAAACAAATATAGTCTAGTATGGGGGCAGAGAAAGGTGTGAGGAGGCTGGGAGGAGGGGGGAGGACAATTGGCAGAAGGAGGGAGGGCAGGAGGTGGGATCACACCTAATGTGCCCATAGTGAGGGTGTATCACATGCCCACTGGGTGAAGGGCTCTTTTACAACTGGAACTTTACCCTGGAAGTAAGAACAACGTAACCTAAAATTTTGTACCCTCATATTAATTTGAAATTAAAAAAAAGAACTATAAGTTGTTTCTGTAGACAACATATAATTAAGTCTATTTTTTTCACCCACTCTGAAAATTTGCTTTTTTTGATTAATATAGTTAAGTTGTTGAAGATTAAAGTGACCGTTGATACATTGGTATTAATATCTATGGTATTTGTTACTGTTTTCTGTTTGTTGCCTTATTTTGTCTTCCATTTTTTTTCTGCCTCTTTTGGTTTTAATTGAGCAATTCATGTGATTGCATGTTTCTCTTTTCTTAGCATACCAATTATAGTTCATTTTGGGGGCTACGTATAGTGGTTCACACCTGTAGTCCCAGCGCTTTGGGATTTATTTGCTGTTCTATGTGTAATTCAGTTCTGAGTATTTCCTGTAGGGCAGGTCTAGCAGTGAGAAATTCCCTTAGCGTTTGCTTGTCTGGAAAAGTCTTTATTTCTCCATCATTTATGAAATGTAGTTTTTCAGGGTACAAAATTCTTGGGTGGCAGTTGTTCTGTTTAAGAAGACTAAAAATGAGGCCCTAATTCCTTCTGGTTTATAAAGTCTCCACTGAGAATTATGTTACTAGCCTGATGAATTTTCCTTTGTAAG